AATCATCCTGCACTAGAGGATTGATAATCATAGAGGGGTTCAGTAATAGTCTGGTTTTTTTCAATTTTGAGTTTCTTCAGTCACCATAATATAAATACACATTCCTGAATTGTTAAACATGTTGCAATCAAGTGTCCATTTGAAAAAATTATATTGTTCAATGGAAAAATAAAGTTTAATGCGTACATAGCCATCTCGAATTGCCCTCCTGCTATGCTTTACTGACTCCATACCGTCATTAAAGATTGTGCTTTTGATGCAACTGTTGCTAGGTATGTGTGGGTAAGAGTTGTGCAGTGGTTTAATATTGGAGGCTTAAAGGTAGCATAGCTCAGGAAAATAAATACTTTCTTCATTCATGCAAATGGAGGAGGCAAGTCTGTTCTCAGCTTCTTCCTTTTCACCGGCCTTTTCTACTAAACAAAATGAGTGAAGTTTTATGTTTAACAGTTGTGCTGGCCAGGATTTTATCTGGTTTGGATGCACTTTAACTTTATACCAATTGGTTGGTTTTTTTTTTTTTTTCATTTTCATCATCATTTCCTTTCTTCAGCCATGAAATTGATGTATTTTTTTTTACTTAATGGACATCATTAAAAATTCACAGAAGGGCTTTTTGCAGATCATTCCATCCCCTGCACAATTAAGGTTGTCTAATGCCCAATGTTTAAATGGCTGTTCTTAAGTGTTCAGTGTTTACACATATCCTTAAAATGAAATGATCATTTTATTCACTTTCCAATAGGAAGTGGATGCTAGAGCTGAAGCAGTAGATAAAAGGGACTTCAGCAGAAGTGAAAATAAATGAGGAAATAAGTCTTGTGGATCATCTGTGCTCACACAATGAAGATTGTACAACATTCGTAGAACCACATCAATATATGACATGTCAGAAACTCCTATTCAAGATGAAGGAGCAGACCCTGAGATTATTTTTTGTCAAACATATTTATGTTTTGTGGAGGTTTAGTGACATTATATTACATTATATTAGATCATTGAATTTTGTGTGCCTGTTTTGGAGCTTTGTTGGCAAATGCAATCATACTGTTGACAACTCTAATGACTGTTTTTTGTTTGGAAATTTCAAATGAATCCATAGAATTGCTTTTACATACAGTAGTTAGCCTTCACCCCCCCCCCTTTTTTTTTTTAGTTTCAAGCAACTCACTAAATTATTTTCCTTATATGGTATATGCAGTTTCATTACTTAAATATGGCCAAAAACCTTCCTTGCATTCTGGTTAAAAGCTATTGTTGAGGTTTTTGGATTAACAAGACCCTTTCCACACTGTCTTGACTGCCATTAAAGTCTTATGTAGAAAATTGGCCAAATCTATTAATCCTTATCTTTGTTATCTTTATGAAAAGAGAATGCAATAAGAAGAAAACCAGAATTACCCCATGATTTCCTAGGCTGCAGAAACAGTTGTAGTGCTTAACTATCTTGTTATTGTTCATCTTTTTTGTTGAAGGTGTTGTGAATTTTAAGAAAATTCCAGATACTTTGGATCCCTGAAATGTTCAACCCTCAATAATCTCTACTCCATAAAAAAATTACTTTAAAAAAACAATAGGTATTTAGATCCCCCCCCCAATATATTTTTGTTGTTTTCAAGCCTATTACACACATTTGCTTCACACTGGTCACCAAATTAAGATTCCAATTCAGTAAAGGAGAGGAAACTCAGCCTGCTAGAATCATAGGAAGTGTATGCTGCCCACCTTGACTAAGAGGTGTTGTCTATGCTAACAACCAGTTTGTTTTCTCTGATGGCAGATGCCACATTCATTCTAAAGGGACTGCAAATCAATGAGGAAGAATCTACACATCCTGGGAAAACAATATTCCCCACAATAGGGAAAGAAAACATCCTTCCCCAGAGATGTATTAAACTTTTGCCTGAATACCCTGTGGAATTTTGAGTTCTACTAAAGCTACAGTGTCTGTTTCTTTGCTAAGGTGTAATTAAGAGATTGTTCAAACTATTGCACCATTGCACTCATTTCACATGCAAGTAAAGTTATGCTTAAAATCCTACAAGCTAGATTCCAGCAGTATGTGGATCGAAAACTTCCAGAAGTACAGGCAGGATTTCGAAGAGGTAGAGGAACTAGACATCCAACTGCGAACATACGCTGGATCATGGAGAAAGCTAGAGAGTTCCAGAAAAACATCTACTTCTGCTTCATTGACTATGCTAAAGCTTTTGATTGTGTGGATCACTACAAATTGTGGCAAGTTCTTAAAGAGATGGGAATACCAGACCATCTCATTTGTCTCTTGAGAAACCTATATGCGGGTCAAGAAGCAACAGTGAGAACTGGACACGGAACCACTGATTGGTTCAAAATTGGGAAAGGAGTCCGACAAGGCTGTATTCTGTCGCCCTGCCTATTTAACTTATATGCAGAGCACATCATGAGAAAGGCAGGGCTAGATGAATCAAAAGTTGGAATTAAGATTGCCGGGAGAAATATCAACCACCTAAAATATGCAGATGATACTACTTTAATGGCAGAAAATGAAGAGGAATAAAGAGCCTCTTGATGTGAGTGAAGAAGGAGAGTGCAAAAGTTGGCTTGAAACTCAACATTAAGAAAACCAAGATCATGGCATCCATCCCTCTCAATTCCTGGCAAATAGATGGGGAAGAAATAGAAGTAGTGACAGATTTTATCTTCCTGGGCTCCAAGATCACCACAGATGGGGACTGCAGCCAAGAAATTAAAAGACGCTCCTGGGGAGGAAAGCTATGGCAAATCTAGACAGCATACTAAAAAGTAGAGACATCACCCTGCCAACAAAAGTACGTATAGTCCAGGCCATGGTTTTCCCAGTTGCAATGTATGGCTGTGAAAGCTGGACCATAAGAAAGGCTGAGTGCCAAAGAATTGAGGCCTTTGAACTATGGTGCTGAAGAAGACTCCTGCAAGTCCCCTGGACTGCAGGGCAATCAAACCAGCCAGTCCTAGAAGAGCAACCCTAAGTGCTTTTTAGAAGGCCAGATCCTGAAGTTGAAATTCAAGTACTTTGGCCACCTAATGAGAAGGAAGGACTCACTGGAGAAGAGCCTAATGCTGGGAAAGATTGAGGGCAATAGAAGAAGGGGACAACAGAGAATGAGGTGGCTTGACGGAATCACTGAAGCACTAGGTGTGAGCTTAAGTGGACTCCAGAAGATGGTAGAAGACAGGAAGGCCTGGAGGAATGTTGTCCATGGGGTCGCAATGGGTCGTACACGACTTCGCAACTAACAACAATAATTAAGAGATTGAAGAAAGAATTTTATACTTTAATTCCTCTAAAAAAATTTTTTTTTTAAAAAATGTCCACGGGGAATGCTAACAATGGCAACAATAACATGCAAACATACCCTTGATCTTTGGGATGAGGCTTTATCTATCATTAAATATTTTTCCTGTCTCTCACCCTCACTGAGAATGAGAGTACCAAAACTGTCCTTGCACGTTGCTGAATCAACATCTCGTGTTCTGTGAAGTTGTCTACTATACATGGTGCTCTGAATTAATATTGTTAATTGCTCCAGCATGAAATTGCACCATGAAAGAGGGTACATTCTTTTTATTAGTTAATAAATTATTAGCCAATGCATCCTTTTTACTAGCTTCAGATATCTTCAGAAAGATGGCAACATGTTGCTTCATCACGATGGTGGTAAGGAAATAAATGTAATCAAGCTTTGTAATACTACTGTCCCATACGAGAAGGTACCCGCTATGTTCTTCTTTCTTAATATTTTAATCCTCATTTTGCCATTAATGTTCTATATTTATACTTTGATCTAAATAAACTACAATGAAAATAAATGAAAAAATGTAAATAACTGAACGAATAAAATGTGAAGACGTGCCAATCCCGAACAATCTCTTGAGTTTATTTCTACTACAAATTGTATTTATAAAACCAGGCATACTATATGAAAAAGCTGGTTGCTTTTTTTTTTTTTTTTTTTTTGCTGTTCTTTGGCTTTATCTATGCAGGCATCCAAACTTCAGTTCAAGTGTCCCTGATTACTTTTCTAGAAATCCAGAACAGCTGTTGCTACTCATGTTAGGCAAAATTGAGGTAAATGGACCAATGATTAGACTTAGTATCAGGACATTTCATATGTTCACCTTGTATCATGCTAATTAAAATAATAGTTGTATAAAGCTGAGTATAAAATAATTATATGAATTTTTACGAGCTTTAACTTTCTGATTTGGGTAGACTACTGGGGAAAGAGTAATTGCTTCTTCAAAAAAATATTCAATGTTATTATTTAATTGCTAGAAGATACCCTTTTTGATTCCACATTCATTAGATTTTAAAATAAAAATTATTTTATAAATATATAGTAATAAAAATTATATATTTATTCTAGGATCTCAATTCTAGTTTCATGTTTCCATAGTTGCATGCACCTCTTGGTTCAGAAGTAATACCATGATTGGAAATAAGTCTTTTCTTACAAATTGAAATAATCTCCATGACAAAATGAAGTTTACTAACTAGTACCCTTCAGATATGCTGGAAGTTCAGGTCCCAGAATCTCCAACTATATTTGTTTTACAAAAATTCTGGCATTGTAGCGGAGACACATGTGGAGGATATTTGGATGAAGAACTCTGATTTGGGTGTTTCAGGGTACCTGACAATACTGTTCCAGGAAATCACTCATGCTAAGTACTCGGCAAAGAAAGCCCTGCTGTGTTTCTCAGTTCTAAATGTAACGCAAATTTTCACAATGTTTGGCAAAATAATTGTAGGAAGTGAATTGATAAAAAAAAAAGTCAGTGATATCTTTTAGTTTGTTTAAAAATCCATCAGGCACTAGTCTGAGCTTGGCAACTACTGATAATAAATGCAGACAGAGTCTGTTTTTATGTATGTAGCCTTCTTAAGCATGAACATCCTTGGGAGCATTTCATGTTGATGCAGAATGTGGCTCCGAACTTATGAAATTCTCATCATCGTGTCCTTTGGTGTCTTTCAGATTCCGACCTGAGCATGCGCACTCTGAGCACTCCCAGTCCTGCGCTAATATGTCCACCAAATTCACACAGCTTGCAGAATGGAAAAGAGTCTTCTACATCTTCCTCTTCGGTCACCGGGGAGACCATTGCGATGGTTCACTCACCTCCTTCCCCCTGCCTCACCCACTCTCTTATTCATGCTGCCTCTTGGCTTCAGAAAGAACAAGCCAATATCAACCGGCTTCCTGACCTTTCGGTGATCCAGATATTTTCTTTTTTGCCCACCAATCAGTTGTGCCGGTGCGCCCGCGTGTGCCGTCGCTGGTATAATCTTGCTTGGGACCCACGACTTTGGCGAACTATTCGCCTGATAGGTGAGACAATCAACGTGGACAGGGCTCTGAAAGTGCTGACACGACGACTTTGCCAGGACACCCCAAACGTCTGTCTCATGCTGGAGACGGTAATTGTTAGTGGCTGCAGGCGGCTCACAGACAGAGGACTTTATACCATTGCTCAATGCTGCCCAGAACTGAGGCAATTGGAAGTATCAAGTTGCTACAACATTTCCAATGAGGCGGTTTTTGATGTAGTGTCCTTGTGCCCAAACTTGGAACATTTAGATGTATCAGGTAATGGAAAAAGTCTACATTTACACTCTGGCTGGAGCGTTTTGGATAAAGCATGTCAAATTTAATGGAGAAAATATTGTCAACATTTTTTATCACAATCTAGATAGTAACTTTTTCACTCTGTTACTAACATTTTTGGAATATCTCTCTGTTCTCCTTTCTTTCTGCTTTTTTTTTTTAAATAATATTTCTCCAAATAATCTTGCATTTAAATCTCAATTTTAATCTTGCATTTAAAATTGTATTCTGTACTGGTAAATACTTCAAAGTGTTTGTAATTGAGCATGAGTCTTTAAAGAGTGCCAGGTTTAGTGTGTCAGAACAACAAAGGTCCCTGCAACTCTTTAAACAGTCACATATTATTGCATAAGCATTTGTGGATCTCAGCCCTTTCCATTATGTGTGCAGAGTACCAATCTGTTAGTGTTTAGATGCCACAACACTTTACAAAAGAAAACAGTGTGACGTTGTGATTAAGATGCTGAACTGTGAGCAGAGACCCAAATCTACCTACGGAAATTCACAGGGCAATGTAGGATCAGATATTTTGTTCTCAACCCAGCTGAGCCTTCAGATATGTTGGTGAACAATGAAGAAGTGAATGCCCTATATCAGGGATGTCAAACTGCCCACCCCATTGCAGGCAATGGGGAAAAAAGTCACAATATGTCCTGACATGTCACGTGACATTATGAGTTTGACACCCCTGCCCTATATGCTTCTGGGAGACCTTGCAGGAAAGACAGGATAAACCAATAAAAAGTTACTACTGTCCTTATGAAAACTCTTTTTTTTTTCAAAGATATTTTTTATTAAATTTTGAGATTTTACAAAAACAAAACAATCTTCCCCCCAACCTCCCCAACCCTCCCATTCCCTCCCCCAACCTTCCCAGAGCTGAATATAGGCTTAATTAAAATTTCATCAAAAAATCTTAAAAAAAGATATAAACCATAAATGAATCTAACATTAGTTAGAAATCTAAATACATTAATTAGAAAAATTATAAAATAATTAACAATAGTATATATATAAAAAAACATGAATACAAAAAATAAATGTTTAGAAAGGAAAAGAATAAAAAAAAGGAAAAAAGAAGAACAAAAAAACAAAAAAACCCAAAATATTCCATTTTAAATATAAATTGTTAAAAAACTAAATAATATTTTTTATATCCAACTTATGTTGTATAAAATCTATCCATTTTTTCCATACCGCAACATACTTCTCTTGCGATTGATCCTTCAAGAAAGCCGAAATCTTTGCCAATTCTGCCAAATAAGAAACTTTGAGAAACCACTCTTGCAAAGTAGACAAAGATTCCTTCTTCCAACATTGCCCTACTAACAACCTTGCGGCTGTAATTAAATTTAACATCAATGTAATCTCCTTAGTATCACAATCAATAACGATACCTAACAAAAACAATTGTGGGGTAAATTTTACCCTCCTTCTAAAAATTCTTTGAATATTCCACCATATCTTAATCCAAAAGGCTTTTATATTTTTACACGACCACCAGATATGATAGTAAGTAGCATCCAAACATCCACATCTCCAACATTTAGGCTATAAGTCAGGATACATACGAGACATTTTTTGTGGATCAAGGTGCCATCTGTAAAACATTTTATAAAAATTCTCCCTTAAATTCTGGGCTTGTGTAAATTTAACATTTCTCACCCAAATAGTTTCCCAAGTATCTAATAAAACTGGTTCACCAAAATTTTGTGCCCATTTAATCATACATTCTTTAACTAATTCTGCTTCTGAATCCAATTCTACTAACACCCCATAAATTCTCTTAATGTGAGTTCGTCTTTGATCTTTTACTTGTTTAAAAAAATTCTCATCTTCTCTAAGCAAACCCACATTACAATCTACCTTCCATCTATCCACAATTTGTCTGTACTGAAACCATGAATATATAATATTTTCTTGTGCTAAATCTTCCAAAGCTTTTAACTGCCAATTTTTACCATCCCATCTAAGTAATTGTGCATAAGAAACATTATCCATCTTAACTCCTCTCCTTATCCCCTCTATCGCATGCCATGGTATGGCCCATAATGGAATTTTAGAATCAGTTCTATAATATTTCCTCCAGACCCGAAGTAAAGAAATCCTTACAATATGAGATTTAAAAACCCTGTCAACTTTTTTATTAAAAATTAAATAGGCATGCCATCCAAAAAGTAAATCCCAACCCTCCAAGAGGAGTATTTCTACATTTGTTAAGTTAACCCAATCACTAATTAATGTTAAAACCACAGCATCATAATACAATTTCAAGTTCGGTACCTTGAGTCCACCTCTCTCACGAGTATCTTGTATAATTTTAAGTTTTACTCTTGGTTTTTTCCCTGCCCAGATAAATTTGTTGATACCTTTCTGCCATTCATTTAAATTAACCTCGTTCTTTAAAATAGGTATCATTTGAAATAAAAAAAGAAACTTTGGCAGAACATTCATTTTAATCACCGCAATTCTTCCCAGAAGAGATAATTGCAACTTCTCCCAATTTTTCAAATCTCTTTGTATCTTGACCCACAGCTTTTCATAATTATTTTTATACAGTTTTGCATTAGAGACAGATAAAGTAACCCCCAAATATTTTACCTTATCAACAACCTCAAAATCTGTCAAATTAACCAAAGTCTGCTTATCAAGATTGGTCATATTTTTGGATAATATTTTAGTCTTATTATTGTTGATTTTAAAACCCAAAACCCGTCCATATTGATGTATCAATTGTAGTAACTCTACTACAGAATGAATAGGTTGTGATAAGGTAACCACCAAGTCATCTACAAAGGCTCTTAATTTATATTCTTTTTTATTGACTTCTATTCCTTTTATTTGCTGTGATTCTCGAATTTTAATCAGCAATATTTCCAAAGTTAAAACAAACAGCAGTGGTGACAATGGACATCCCTGTCTAGTCCCTTTTTCTATTGTAAAAACCTCTGACAAACCCCCATTGACTATAAGTTGTGCCGTTTGTTTTTGATAAATAACACCAAGAGCTTGTAAAATTTTTCCTCCAAAATTCATTTTCTCAATTAATCTTAACATAAATTGCCAATTCAATTGATCAAAAGCTTTTTCAGCATCTAAAAATATCAATCCTGCGGAAACTTGATTATTTTTATCTAAATATTCTAATAAATTAATGATTTGTCTAACATTATTCTTCATATACCTTCCAATTATAAAACCTGTTTGGTCTGTGTGTATGACATGATGCAAAACCCTCATGAGCCTATTGGCTAAAATTTTCGCAAAAATCTTATAATCTACATTTAAAAGAGATATAGGTCTATAATTCTTTGGTAAAGTAAGGTCTTGATCTTCTTTTGGAATTAAAGATATAAAGGCTCTACCCCATGACGGGGGAATCTCTGAGCCCTGTAATATATTATTAAAAAGTTCACTTAAAGGTTGAGCCATCTCTTGTACCAAAATTTTATAATAAATAGATGTCAAGCCATAAGGATGGCTTATGAAAACTCTTTTATGACCAGGGCTCACTTCAACAGGAATATCCAATTTTATCCATTTAGTCTGCATATAAAGAGAATAGTCAACTCTGATCATAGATTAATTTTCTGGGTTGGAGGAAGTAGAAGGCAACACCAGCTACAATTAGTTTTTAGGGTATGCCACTTTTGACTTGCAAGTCGAAGAAAGTGAGAAATTAAAAGAAAGACAAGTCAGTAACAGTAAGCTTTGATCCTCAGATCTCTATGCTATACCAAAGACATCATCTGACCTCTGTAATAGTGATAGTGTTTTTTTCGCCACAAAGCTCTTTGCTATGTTAACAGCCACAATCATCATCCTTGCAGAATTCACTTTCAGATTTTCTCAGTGTGATGTTATTGGGCAAGCAATACTGCCCTCTGCTGAGAAAAATGCCCAAACCAGCAAGGGTGTGTATATGTGTGTATAGCTATCTATCTAGATAGATAGATAGATAGATAGATAGATAGATAGATAGATAGATAGATAGATAGATAGATAGATAGATAGATAGATAGATACGATGTGATACGATACGATATGATACGATATGATATGATATGCATATACGGGCATAGACGTTCTTTCCCTCAATCTCTCCCTCCCCCCTTCACCTACCCCAGATTATTTCAATGCATTTCAGTCACTTGCCAGTAGATCAATTCTGTATTCGGTACAATTGCAGCTTCCTGAACCTAGTTAAGTGCCATATTATGAGAAAAATCAGCACTGTATCCTAATGTAAAGCACCATTCATTTACTATTGATCCCCAAACCAGCAGTTCCTTCAGACTGTTTCATAGATTAATTTTTTTTAAAAAGCCCTTACAGAAAAACAAGTAGGAAGTAAGAATATTTTTCATTAGGAGTTGTTGGTTTTGGAAGGGGAAAGAAATAAATTCATCTCACTGCCTGCAAGGACTTTGATTCAGAATATCTTGAAATCTCATTGAATTGGTTTAGAAAGAATATAGGTAGAGCAGCATAGGAACTACTAGAAACAAAGACTACATAAAGCTAGCAGAAAACTCTATCTGGTAAATGGGTTACAAAATTTACACACAACAGATAAAATCTTGTAATAGTAGCGAATATCTTTAGCTCAGGTGTAGGATGAGTGTGAAAGTTCGTTCTCTGAGTTTGTGGGTTGGTTTCTGAACATTTTGTTACCAGGCTAGGTAACATCTTCAGCAGAGTTTAGGGGATGTCAGTGTTCTACACATCTATAAAATCTGGATAAATTTTTATCCATGTACACCAATGTTTTCCAAAATTGGGAAAATGATGTGTATATGCATGTATGTCAAATGTAACTGACTTGGGAATATATTCATGGTACCATTTTTCTTCCAACAGATAGCTGATCTGTAAAATATTAAATATAGATAGAGTTTTCTACAAAGAACCACTTTTGTGCAGCAGTTAAAGATGCTAGATTAGGAGCAGAGAGACTGGAGTTTTAGTCTGTCCTTAGGCACTGATGCTATGTGGGTGACTCTAAGCAATCATTTGTCCCATTCCTACCTTGGGAAGTTGAGAAACATCCTTTAAAAAGGTATTGACAATGTACTTTCAAAAATCCTGCCAAGAAAACTGCATAGATCCATCCACATAGACACCAAGAGTCAATATTGATTCAAAAGATCATAACAACAGAGTTTTTGCTAGCTGCCACCCTTCTGGCATACTTGCCATTTTAAATTTCAAATGTATGGTTCTTACTTCATGCAAAATGATATTTCTCAGGAAGCAAAGGATCTCTGTGCCTCACATGCATGCTTTCGTTCAGCCACTAGAACAAACATTCTGCTAAATAAACAGACCTGAACATGGCACACACAGTACATAACTTTTCAGTGAAAATATACAAGAGAATGTAAAAAAGAAAGAAAGATAAGTGGGAATAGAAAAATGCAGAATCTTTGGAGTGTATAGCTATAGTATAATCATTATAGAAATATTGTGTTAGATATAGTTTGCCCTTACATATTTCCGTGTGTGTGTGTGTGTGTGTGTGTGTGTGTGTGTGTGTGTGTGTGTCTATAAGGAATTAATCCTGTACACCTGGTTTGGAACACGTCCTTGGTTTTAATAGGCTTTACCTCTCCAAATGTTTGGCATAAAATAGATGCCTGTATAAAATGGGATTTTATTAGTATCAACATGACAACTTATCTGTTAGAATATTTTGCAGGCCTCATGCGAGACCTAGTTTACTTTGTAAACTCATTGTGGGATTTTAGGAATAGTGCATCCTAGAAATTATGTTATTATGTCAAAACCACAGAAAAGTTGGATATCAGATTTTCCACATTTTTTAAAGGTCTCTTTCAGTTTTAAGGAGACTGCCTATGCAGATGAACTAGACTGCAATCCATTATCTCATAACTGGCCAAAGTTCATTCAGAGTTTCAAAGTTTCCTGAAACTTTCTCATTTTATTTAAAACCTTTTACATTTTCTCTATGGAAAGACTGTTGCCAAGAGCCTGTATGTTTTTTTATTATTATTATTATTATTATTATTATTATTATTATTATTATTATTATTATTATTATTATTATTATTATTATTATGGGTAGATAAAATGCTTCCAGACATAGAGTAGGCAAATATCCTAAACTATAGAATCTGTAAAAGGAGTTGGGATGGACACTATTTAAATCAGGGGTCCCCAACCTCTGGTCCATGGACTGGTACTGGGCCGCAGCATGCCAGCAACTGGTCCACACAAACACGCAAAGCCTCATCTGCAGGATGCAGGTAGCACACAAAACCATGCCCCCTGCCGTCCGCAGAAAAACCTCCCTCCACTTAACTGGTCCCTGGTGCCCAAAAGGATGGGGACCTCTGATTTAAATGGATTATACATCAGGCAAGCATGATTTCACCTTCTGACATTGCTTCAGGAAGTAACCAACAGCTTGCAGAACACAGAGACTGGGAAGCCAAACTTGGCATTACTATAGTCAACCATTGCCATCTTCTATTAATTCAAAATTTGTTGTCCTATGATGCACTGTTTCACTTAAGATTAATTAAATCTTACTGGAACAAGTATTTTAGTAGTATATAGACTGAGGCAATTAGATTTGATTGAAAACTGGTAAGTTTTTCAGAAACCTTTAAACTTAAGAAAAAAATACAATCTGGGAAATGTTGCTTAGCCTTCACTATTTTAACTACTGAATTTAGGCCAAATGTTGCTGACAGACTGAGTGAGTCCTGGGATGAAAATCCTATACCACTAAGATCATTTATATAAAGGGGAAGTGGACCATCTTTGTTAACAATTTTCCCCCCTTTCAAATATAGGTTGTTCCAAAGTGACGTGCATCAGTTTATCCCGTGAAGTTTCCATCAAATTATCTCCTTTACATGGCAAACAGATTTCTATTCGCTACTTGGACATGAGTGACTGTTTTGTCCTTGAGGATGAAGGACTGCACATTATTGCCACCCACTGCACTCAGTTGACACATCTCTATTTGCGCCGCTGCATCCGCATTACCGATGAAGGCCTCCGTTACCTGATGATTTACTGCCCTTCCATCAGGGAGTTGAGTGTGAGCGACTGCCGCTTTGTCAGTGACTTCGGCATGCGTGAGATTGCAAAGCTGGAGTTCCGCCTGCGGTATCTCAGCGTTGCCCACTGTGTCCGCATCACTGACGTCGGTATCCGATACATCACTAAATACTGCAGCAAGCTACGTTACCTCAATGCGCGAGGCTGTGAAGGCATCACAGACCACGGAATAGAGTACCTGGCCAAAAATTGCACAAAACTGAAGTCACTGGACATTGGGAAATGCCCTCTGGTCTCTGACATTGGCTTGGAGTTTCTGGCCCTGAACTGCTTCAACTTGAAGCGACTGAGCCTGAAGTCATGCGAAAGTGTCACTGGACAAGGCCTGCAGATTGTAGCAGCCAATTGCTTTGACCTGCAAATGCTGAACGTTCAGGACTGTGAGATTTCAGTGGAAGCTTTGCGATTTGTTAAGCGCCATTGTAAGCGCTGCATTATAGAGCATACTAACCCTGCCTTTTTTTGAAGTGAGAGTCATACCTGTTGCTGAAACAAAAGATTAAAATTGTTTGTATGTACGTGTGCACAGTTTGTCCACATATGCAACTGTACCTTTCTTGTGCCAGCAGTAGCAACATAGACTTTGGCCATCTAGGTTGGTCCCTATATGATATCTTTTAGCAGACTTGCTCAACTCTTCAATTTCTGAAAACTGCATAAAATCATCACTCTCTGGACTTTCAGCTTACTGAGAAAGTGATATGTATGTAGAGCTCAGAAATCAGAAGGCAAGTACCAAGTCTAAATGTGTTGTTGGTGATGTCAAACATTATGGTTCTAATTCAGAGAAAGATTAACTCCTTGAAAACCAGTTGAAAAAGATAGTTATGAGAAATCTCTTTGTTGTTCTCTTTGAAACCTTAGGGCTATCTTTAGCTAAATTGGAATGATAAAAACCTACCCTCTTTTAAGACTCTGTTTGGTTTTACATGTTTGTGTCACAACTATTGCAAAAAAAAAAAAAAAAAAGTTACCACCCAAAGTGCAATACTTTTAGCACCTCTGGCTTTCTAGTCATTGTAATTATGCAACTGTGAGAAATTAAGCACACATGTATTTTAATTGTGATTCTCAGTGTTGAATGAGTTCCCTGCTTTCCCTGCTCTCTGGTGCCTCTCAGGAATTCTACTGAGTTTTTCTCTAATAGAAAAATGGTTGTAGGACACCTTCCTTCAGATTGTCATAGCATATCCTGTTATTTAAAAGAAGCATATATTTAATCTACTCAGTATCCTCAGTATAACAATCCATTATCTCAAAACATATATATTAGACAGGAGGCCACTTTTGACCTCCCAATTCCCCTTTGTTCCTCTCCCCCAAACTCTGATTGACCATGATTGCCGAAAAATGACATAGTTTCCTACTATATTTGGGCTGGAAACAGATAAAGACTACTGTAACCAATAAAGGAGAGTATTTGTAGCTCAGGGTTGAAATGAGGGGTTTTTGGTGCTCTCTGAGCTTGGTTGTTTTCTTGCAGACATTTTCATTACCAAAACTAGGTAACGTCAGCAGTTGCTCATATTACCTAGTTTGGGTAATGAAATGTCTGCAAGAAAACAACCAAGCTCAGACTACTATAAACCCTAAAACAGGCCCATCACAAAAAATAAAAATATCTCCCTCCAACTTCCTCCCAAATCCCAACCCACCTACAAAACGTAATCAGGCCATATTCACCTGCTTACAACAAAATGTGGTCATTGACTAGTCTTCCCATTCCCCCTCTATGTAGAACAGGCATGTCAAATTGCCAGCCTGCGGGCCGGATGCTTCATACTGAAACTGCACCCACCTCATTGCCGGCAAAGGGAAAAAGTCGTGATACGTCACGTGATGTCACGTGACTCATGAGTTTGACATGCCTGATGTAGAACGTGATCCATTCTTTGCACATTCTGTCCTGTCTTTTACTATTTAAGACCTGGAGAGCCTGTGGCACAATGAAAGGAATATTCATAATATTCACATTTGTGTGATTAATGGTAGTCACCTAATTCTATAGTACCCTTCTTGGTTTAGCATTTTAGAAACAAGCCTTAATTGATGCTCAAGAGACTATGTGTCCTGTCATGGCACTGACAGAAAATTATTAGACAAAGCAACATTAAGTTGGAGGGAAATAGGTGTGTCCTCAGTGGTTATTCAGGAAAAAAATACCTTATTCAAAACAATATAATGTTGGTCACTTGTTAGATTTAACAAGAGGAAAAAAAAATGTTAACCATGAAAGCATACTCACCTGACATTTTTTGCTTAGTACTTAAACCCTATTTCTCATAGATTCAAGAATGCAGTAAATTGTTATTAGTAGCATAGAATAATACTAGAATCAATACATTCATCATATTGTTCTCAGTCTGATAAGACAATGAAAATTGACCTGTTAGGACAGGGGTCTTCAAACTTGGCCCTTTTATGACTTGTGGACTTCAACTCCCAGAATTCCTCAACCAGGCATGCTGGCTGAAGAATTCGGGGAGTTGAAGTCCACAAGTCATAAAAGAGCCAAGTTTGAAGACCCCTGTGTTAGGTTCGAGAATTATTTTAGAGACACTGCATACTAAGAAAATGTTTTAAAATATATAACTCTCAGTGCTTTGAGATTTATCTCTATCCCTATTTCAGAGTTTTTCTTTCCCACCTCACATCCCTGTTTCCTTTATCCTGAGTGCCTTTCAGATGCTTCACAATTCACTTCACATTCATGCAGAACTTTATCATTCAGAAATATCTCAAAAGAAGAAAAAGATGATCACAGGCTATAGTCTCAGCTTTTAGACCAGAGAGTTCTGTTTACATACATTTTTGTAACATCAATAAACAATTTTATAGGGAAAGTTGTATTTTCAGAGTGCTAATACTGGTTCATTTTTCAGACCAAAACGATAGCCATTACATTCTTCCCAAATACTTCTGATACAATAATTATTCAGAGTGTGTACATATTAAAGAGGCTCCATGTATATTTGGTCAAATCTGAGCAAAAGTTTTATATATTTGTGCAGAGACTGAGGCATTTTTTTTTTGTCATGGATAATGTTACAAAAATGCTACCATTTTTTCCCATTTCTAAAGCACAGATGATTTTCTGGATTCCAGTTGCTGTGCAGAAAAAGTCCAGGGATTAATAAAGCAAAGCAGAGCGCAATTTATTCTGCTAAACTTGGAGAAATATTAAGGTTAGTAGAAATTTTTTTAAAAAACTCAAATTTCTGTTGGATTTTTTTTTTTTTTACTGAGACAGGAAAACAGGAAACCTGTATCCATAAATCTACAGAAATAAGAAATTTCTTACAAGTTTTTGTAAGAAATAAGTTTTTCTCTAAGTCTTGCTATCATGGTATTCTTAGTAATTTTTTATAGAAGTAACAGGCATAATATGTTTGTTTCTCAGTGACAAAGGTATTTCATGCTGTTAAAAAAAATCCTTTGGCTCATGTTCTAATATTCTTTCTGTCAGACCAAGCAATGTTTTCCAGACAGTAAAGCAATTAACTTCAAAACCATTTCCTTGGAGAACAGAGATTTAGGATACTCCATCGTCTAGTTAAAGAAGGCAAATTGAAAATGCAAGCCAATTTCCACTGTATGTATGCCATAGCAAAGTGGGAAACACAAATATGAACTCCAAGTGTCTTATATGGGCATGGAAACCTTTTTTGCAGGGATGTTCTAAAAACACTGTTCATATTCCCTAGAAGTGCAGGGCCAAAGCCTGAAAGGTGTGGAGCCGAAGCCAAATGCTCTCCATGCATACATATCTCCTTCCCCAGACACTCTTATGTACAAAACATGTAGGAGCTACTGCAATCAAGTTTGATAAATACCTCCTGTTGGGATCATGGAAAGTTTGCTTTCAAAGTACAATTGTAGAGTGTAGGAGGAATTTTCAGGGAAGCCCCAACAGTCAGCAGTTGCAGTAATATTCTGTACAACTGACCTGCAGCCTGGATCCACAAATCACAGGAAGCTGTAATGTGGTTTGTTTGATTTGGGCTTAACCTATTACGGCAATACAGTTATGCAGTTTGATCTGCTATAGCTAAGTAAGCATTCTTTTATTTTAGTTGCTGAAGATCAACAGATGTTAGGAAGCCTAAAATCATAGCAGAGTAAAAACGTCTGTTGTCTCGAGAACCTAAAAAGAATTAGAGAAGGGCAATATTGGACACAAATGTTGGATTTTTGCTCTTAAAAGCCAGATTCGAAAATCAGAGGTGTTCACATGTTTTGACTTCATTGATTCATCTTTGGGGAACCTTAGTACAACTACTGCAGATCTTCTCTATATATCAGAAGCCAGTGCAGCTTACATAAGAGATAGGTTTTTAGGGCCCTGACCAGGCATGTAATTGATCCTTACTTTTTTACCCACATAAACTTGATTCGCACAACATACTAATCCATACTAGGGTTTTTTTAGTTTGGCTTTGTATGTTGTAAAAACTCAGACATAGTATTTTATTCAATAAATCGGATCAGATTCAACATGGAAATAACCTAAACAACTCTCCTATAAGTCATTCATCGTAAGAGAAGCACCTTGAGTTTAAAAGAAGCTGTCGCCTTCATTCTGAATTACTGAAATACCCTAAGATGCCAGCATTACAAAGTGTAATACAATACTTTAAATGTCTTTTAAAAGTATTTTCCTCTTATTGTAATTACTTTTTTCCTGGGCAAATGTTTTCACAATTTCTATCTGAAGAATCAGACTGTATCCTCTAATATGAAGCTCAGCCAGGATGGTTATATCTTTAGATGGACTTCCTCATGTATAGCTAATAACTGATTTATGAACATTACTGAAAACATCTCTTGAACAGATCCATAGGAAGGGAATCACCCTGTCTGGTTTTCATTTTTTTTTAAAAAAAAAATGTAACTAGAGTATCTCCAGATGTGGAACAAACATACAGCAAAAGATTCACATCCTAAGGAACAAACAGAATTGCCGATTATTTGTAACAATCCTTATTCTAGAAACCCTTTTTAAATGATTGAAATGAGAAAGTTAAAAATTGTTTCCACTATTATTAAATGAATAATACAAGTAAACAATACTAATATATTGCAGTAGCAAGATGCTACAATGCTCAGATATGTTAAACTGCAATGCTAATCAATCTGGGCAAGAAAAATCAGAAATTGGAGTTGATCATCTAAAGATAAGATAAAATAACCTTTATTGTCATTTTTATACTGTGGGCACGATGGCACATATCAAAAATGAAATTTAGTTGCCCGGTCTCAAAGTGAAACACATACATGACACACACCTAAGCCTACTATGAACAACATATGTATAGACCCACATCCCTACATATACATAGCAAATAAATATTAAATATTGTCCATCTTGAATATATAACGGAAGGAGGAAGCTTGAGAGTTCGCAAGGTTAATGCTGTATGGAATGAAACTCTGGTTGAATCTGGATGTTCTGCTTTGGATACCAAGAAGCCTCCTCCCAGAAGGTAACAAGGAAAACAGGTCATGAAGAGGATTGTCTATCTTGTGTTTACTGTTTAGACTTTTTATACATACATAAATGTTTTCTTAAACCAGTGTTTCCCACCCTTACCAATTCTGAAATGAGTGGACTTCAAATCTCAAAATTCCCCAGCCAAAATACTGACTAGGGAATTCTGGAAGAGTTGAAGTCCACACATTTTAAAATGTTGAAGTTGAGGAACACTTTTTTAAGATACATATCCAAAATGCTATTGCCTCTCACTAAATAATACATTCAATACCAGTTTCCTATTATATTTTGATCATCTATATCCAGCAATAATAACAGTAGAACACTGCTGTAATCCTAGAGCAAATTTTGAGAAGCAGTACTACTAATAGCCATTTAATTTCTGTCTTTTTATTTATGGGTTGATTATTTTGTACAATATTATCCTTGCCTGAAATAGTCTTCACTATTCTTTGCTTACAGAAAGGATAAATGTAGATTTAAATTATGATCTGTGTCCTGAAGGAAAACTAATTGTGATCTGAACAAGGCTTTCTTTTTTCAAATTTCAAACAAGACTGAAGGATGTTTTTTTTTCTTTTTGTCTTTGAACTAAGTTGGTTTGCTGATTATACTACAAGGAAAAAAATAACACTACATGATTCCTAAAGGGAGTTAATTTATAGATTGGCTTTTATTGTGATAAAGCCCTAATTCACTACTACCAAGAAATAAATCAGTATATTAGTATAATGCCTTGATTGATCAATGAATAAAATTGAAAACTGTTCATACGTATGGGGACAGCATCTCACTTTAAATTTCTTTTAAGAAATGGCTTCATCTTATACAAAAAAAAAAAAGTCAAGGAAGTGGCAGAACTGAAATGCTGATATAGGTTGTACATTCCAGATGGTGTGACAATATTCTTAGCAATTTATAGAAATTTCACCTCGTCACCTTGGCAATCTGAGGAAAAACAAAATGGGGGCACATCACAATGCTGGTTCCATTAGCTAACCAAGCCTTTCCTGGCCAGATATGCACTTTAAGGTATTCAGTTCTCAGAATTCAACCAGTGAGAATAACTAACTTCCATGGGTAAGAACCATCTCATGCATATCAGTTACAATTGTAAGCTGGTATCTACTCAATCAGATTCTGACTCCATTTCTCACTTGTCCTTCCAAGCTGAAATTATTTAATTGCAAAGAACTTGACATTAGAATTATATTTACAACAACAGCAACTATTTAATGTGGCTAAACATGCTGATAACATATGTTGCCTGTTAAATGTAGGCTAGACAAATTGTGTGGTTCCAGGTCATGAGCCCAGCATATGATGAAACCTTCATTTATATAAAGGGCCTGGTGATATTCCCAAACTGGTTATTAAAAAATATATGTGATGAAATAGTTCCCATATGTACTATTAGTTCTTATCACATGGACCTAGGAGTGTTTTGTATGATGCTTATATACCAGAATATTCATTTAAAATAAGGATCATATAATTTTACATATATAGTGTTTTTTTTAAAAAAAAATCAGCTTTCTTCAACCTCTCTTTTCCCAGACCCTACCACTAACTGCCAACTTTTATTTACTCCTCCCTAACTTTTAAATGTAAGCAGTAATAATGTTGCATTCCTTATATAGAATATTCTCCAACTTATATTATTATACTTGGCTTCCATAGTTGCATTATTAAAATACAACCAATAATTATTCATATAATTTTAAAATCTAAATATTGTAAAAAAAAAAATAGAGAAATTGACTCCTTTTTGTTAAGTAGATACTCTAAATGGTTATGTAGCTCCAATATTTGGATAGTAGCCCTGATACATTTTTTTTTCCCGACACAATACAGATACTTCTAGACTTAACAAACACAATTGAGCCCAAAATTTCTCTTGCTAAACAAAACAGCTGTAAGTGGGTTTGGCCCCATTTTACAACATTTCTTGACACAGTTTTTAAGTGAATCACTGCAGATGTTAAATTAGTAACACAGCTGCTAATTGAATGTGGCTTATAAGTAGGAGCCAGTTGCCAAGCATTTAAATTCTGATCAGGTAACCATGGGGATGCTGCAATGATTGTGTGAAAAACAGTCATAAGTCACTTTTTGGTGCTGTTTAACACCAAGGTTGTAAGTCAAGGACTAACTGTATTGATTTCAATGTAATATTAACTTGCAGGTGACCATTTTTTTTAATCACAAGTGATTAATTATGTGCTGTGACACCCCTCCCAAAAATGCACAGAAAATCATATTTATGAAATGAAATATTCATGTTCTTTTCCCATGGGTAATTTTAAGTTTAGTAGTCTGTTGTTCAATAGTGTTTTAGTACTGAACCATATTTTGGGTCTTTTCCTTGTTTTTTTTAAATCATTTCATTCCAATAACTTTTCTTAACTCCACTTTCATTTCTGCCAGGGTGCAGTTCTAAATATTTGTTCACCATTCTTTATTTTGACATGAGAATCTACTATAGATTTTAACCTTGAGGGAATGGAATGTGCTCAGCAACTCAATTAGAGGTCTGAGAACTACTGCATTAGCTTGGGGGTGAGCATTAAAATCCTTTCATACATTGATGCACAAATCTCTAAGTTAAAAAAATAAAAGTATGATGGTGTGCCATATAAACATATATTTAGTAAATGTTAAAATTTCATCATGAAATAGAGCTACTTGTAAAATAGAAGCACTTCACTTTAGCTATTTAGGTGGTATCATTTTTTTCATTAACCAGCAAACTAGTATTTGGTGTACTATTGGATTGATCTGATCCAAATGTGCCTTTTTTTTTCTTTCTCAGAACTCTTTCTTTCCTTCAATTTTTTTTTTTCATTTGCTGTTCCTTCCACTGAGCTGAGCACTGCGAGAAAGCTGCATCTGATATGTAGCATGTAAATAGAGGGGGATCTTAAAAGATGGTATTACTCATTGTGAAAGGCCCTGGGATGCTACTGTGCAGGCAACCGAACCAGGTGAACCAGCCATGCCTCTGCCTAAAAGCCGAGCTTCTTCCCTTGGCTCAATTTGCAAATCTTTGCAGAACTCAGCGTCTTGATACCTACTTGTCTAGCTGCAAGCAAGGAAGGAGAAGCAACAAATGGAAACTAACCAAAGTGAGAAGCAACCTAGAACTAAGGAGAAATTTCCTGACAGTGAGATTAGTCAGTGGAACAGCTTGCCTCTAGAAGTTTGGTTCCAGATATATGTATAGTGTATGTAGGTGATAAAGCACAGCCGTGTGACACAACTATATCAGATAAAGGACAAAACCCTCAACTGAATAAAATCATCTCTAGAATCTATATCAATATAACTGTCTGCCTGGGAAAAGCAACTCATTTCAAAGTAATGAAGGTCACAATCCAGTAACATAACTTGCTTTTGTCACACGAGATACCTTTTGATTGCCAAAGGACTACAGGTTACAGTCCTCTTGCACCATTTTTTTTTAAACCCACATGTACAATTAATACAATGGTATTTAATCTGAATACTCATTACTATGCATTACCATGTTTATTCATGAAAGCACTCAATCCACACCCCAAAATAATCTGAGATAGGCCTTCTCACTAATTTACATCCCAACTATTTTGGAATTCCTTCCTAAGGGATGTAGATATGGCCCCCATGCTCTTGTTCGAACAACTGAAGCTTGACACTATTTGTAATTCCTTCAGGATAACACTGAATGTTTATGATCTTTTAGGGCTGATAATCTTATTATTGTTTGATTTGTTTTGTTGAGATGTTTTTGTAAATAAAACTACTGTAGTTTTCTTCAGGAGAAAAAGTCATATAAAGTTAGTAATTTAGATGCATTCAGAAATGTAACTGAGGAAAATGCTTCTAGATCTGAGACCAGAAAGTTTTGCAGAATGAGAAATGTCTGGGGACTTTTAAATTACCGCTTTTGTTCTGAGATTCATTGATTTTATTCAATATGATATATAGCTCTATTGCCAATGAAGTTTCATTTTTTTCTCTGTGATATTTTATATAATAAGAATAATAAACATTAATGACCATTTTCTATTTGAGAAGTACCACATTAGGAAATAGGAGGGGGAAAGAAGAAAAAAGAACAATGAAGAGATAAGCACCAGCACTTAAAGTATAGGGATATCCTCCTTTTTTTAAAGTGAAATTAAATTATCCCATATTTAGTGGATACATTCATATGCTGCAATAAGGCATAATGTAGTTTTACAGAAATAGCTGGTCGCTAAAACAAAATATTACTTAATATGTTGTCTGAAACTAGAGAATGAAGCAACTGTAGGTTCTACGCTGCACTGTCCAAGCTTGTATTATAATAATTCATACAACACCAAGCAGAGTTATTTTGGAATTAGGAAAAAAAATCCCTTGGACATCTGATGCCCAAATACAGCCCAGGGTTGGCTTTAGAAAGAGGAGGAAGAACATAATGGTAGCAAAGGATTTTCAACTACACTGATGATATGCACTGCGGATTGTGAATATTTTGCATTGTTTCTTATTAACTTCAGCAAGAAATCTATTATTAAACATAGATCTGTCAGGATATTGTTGTTTAAAAATAATGAGACTTAGAATATCTGTGCTACAATCCAAATGACCTTCAGCAAAAAGATAAAAAACAACAGCAACCTGTTCAGAGTCCAGTCTATTTGAGTCCATTCATTAATTTGAAACTTCATTTAATCATTACTGGTTATTGACTGCAGCTGTAGCTATTCCAATGTATGAAAGGGTTCATTCACATGTTTAAGGTAATTATTTATACAGTGGACCACAGAGTAAATTTAGTCTAGCTTAATATGAAATAATCCATCTTATTTCTTTCCATCCACCCACTTCTAAGCACTAATGCACAGTGAGCTATTTAAAAGGGCACTGATACTCTGGATAAAATCCACTGAAGAGCACACCAACTTTCACCTTCCTTAAGGCAAAGTAATTTAATATACTAGATATGAAAGATGGATTAAAGATACAAGGAAAAATTAGCATTTCTCCTTCTATGAGCTGTGAACAAGAATATTGAAGTTCTGGGTATGATTTGCCAAATTTTAGCAATACTGATTAAAGAATAAACCAATATAAAACCACAGCCCATAAAAGTATGCACTATTAAATTTATCAACCATTAAACTGACATAGCATAGGTTGTGACCTATTTGCCCATACGTTCTACAGAAATATTTAGCAAAGTGACAGGACACAGAAAATAACAATTTAATAATTCTGTAAACAAAGGAATTTTCAACATATGTAACTTTGAATGCCAGACAGACATACCAAATGCTCTCTTCTACAGAGATGTTAAAAGTACAAATGTCCTGTCTTATTTTTCTAAATTAATCCAGTCTTTTGAGACAGTTGTATTTGTGGCCTTACAGTGAACAATTCTTAATGCAAGACTTTTCAGAAACCTTTGGGAAAGACAATAGTTCTTTGTCCCAAAAAAAAAAAAAAAAATCAGTTTTAGATTTAAAAGCATAAAATGGCAAAGAAATGGAGAAAGTTGAACTATGAATTACCTTTTGGAATTAGTTATACTATAATTGTTTCATGCTTTGTACAAAAGACTTACCAAAGCAACACTTTTTTGAACTGATAAAATTAGATGGCCAAATAAAATCAAACAACATTTTTCCTATGCTAATTAAACAAATAAGGTCTTGGGGGAAAAGAACTTTCTCCAAGGTTTGATGCAGCTGGAGCAGCTGGGGCTTTGGATTCAAATAGATGACTTGGAGAAGCTCATCTTTCTATCTTTGAAGCTTCCAAGCTTTATACATTTTTCTACTTCAGGATTTTGGCTAGTCAGTCTCTTTTCGGTTAACACACAAGATTTCCAAAAAAGATAATATAAAATGCAGTATACATTACTTCCATCACACATTTATTAGACTAGAGAGGGATGATTCCAGTTTTCTAGGAATGAGTGAATAAGTTAATGATGATGACATCTATGCACAGATCTTTCTAAGCATTGTTGTTGCATCAAAATTTATTCAAGAACATGACCCACTAATTTCAAGGATAACTTGTGCTGTCATATATCTTGTATATGTATCGTGTTTACTTCAAACTTAGATATCTCTATTTTCTGACCTGTAAAGACTTTATCAGTTCAGCAACAGAAAATTGGAGCCACGTTTTTACAATATTATTTGAAGACTTCAAGAAAAGAAGCTAGGTCAAAATGCCTGGGAAGACTTGAATTAAGAAAAACTAATAAAAATAAACACTGATTTATAACTCTATCCTTGTTCTATTGTTTTACATGAAAATATTATTTAAATTCATTCTGCATTTTTGAAGCGTATGGTCCTTTAACTTGCATTCCCTGGACTGTTTGTTTTCTTTTCTTCCTCAACTTTATATTATTCTCAAATGACAAAAAAATATTAAAAAGCAGAGATATGGGAATTTTAGTTTGAAAGTACATATCTTAGTCCAATACACAATATACTTAAGACATCTCCTAAAATTCATATTTTATTCATACAATTTGTATTCCCCTTTTCATTGTTAAATATTATCCCAAAGCAGATTGCATACAAATATGTTTTATTTAAAAATGCATTTTTTTTAATTTTTTCTTTATTTAAACTAGTGGTTGATGCAAAAAAATAGGATTTGTAACCCATATGAACCCATCCTATGAAACTGTCAGAGTAGAAATAGACTCATCTAAATATCATATTCCTCTAACAGAGGAAGATCAGTTTAGAACAAAAGGAACTATGCAAAAATTGATATTTTCTACCTAGTTTGTGGATTTCTCCAACTATTCAGAACATTGGAAATATTTAATCAAGTTTTTTTAAAAAAACTTGATTTGGACCTTGTGTCTCAAGGTATATTTTCAAGTGCTGAAGTGTCACTTGAAGGGAAAAAAAAGAAATGTTGAGGAAATATAGTAAATGTTCTAGAAGAATGGGAATTAAGATTGGGCAATAAAGGTAGTGAGATTTTTAAAGACAAGTATCTTTATGCTATATACAAATGTTTCAGAAGGAAAAAATAACTTTTGTTTTATTGCCCACTTTTTAGACACACACTTGGAGCAATAAAATATTCATGACTGGGGCTTTCCTAACTTTATTTTTTAACTATGTATAGCGCAGCAAAGGGAGGGCCTCTTCTCTTGAAAATCCCTTTCCAAAAATATGCTCAGGACAAGAATTCTTGCAAATCATGCAGTAGACATAATAAGGGAAGAGCAGTTGCTCCCTTTAAAACAGTCTGGTATATACAACTTAGTACTTTTCAGATACAGTATTTTGAGAATGCAATGGCCCAGATTCCCAGACAATTTGCTGTTAGTTTATTTCCTAATGATTCTGCAGGACAAACAAGCTTACAAAAAAGTCTTTTACATTTAAATGAGAACACATATTTATATATATTGCTATTACAGAACACTTACTGTAATGCCCTTGTTTGTTGCATTTGTTGTTTAAATCATAAATATATGTTGTACCCCATCTTGACAGTTTTGGTAACCAAAAAATTAAGTTTGAGTTGAGTTTAACTAGAAAGTATATTATAAATCTAAATAAGTAGATACATCACATTGAAAGTAAGATTTTCAACAGAAGGTTTACTAAGTGTAAGACTTAGGGCTGCATTATAAATATTGCACCTACTTGCCAGGATATATAGTGTGTTAATCAGTGAAGTTTGCAGCCAAGTAGGACCGCAAAGAAATATAACACTCATAAAAGATTGGAAATATCTCTTTCAGCTCAAGCCCATGCATTTTTACGTAGATATTTCATCATATTCCACAGGACTAATACTAATGTTAAAAACTGTGTAGAATTAACAGTTTAAATATCTTAAGGCTAAAGTTCTAGTTATTTTGGAAGTCCTTGAATGTTAAATGAATAAGCATTCTTCATAGTTAAGTTCACAATTTTTAAAAAGAATGAAGAATAACTATTAATGTCAGCCCAGTCTGAGAAAGACCAAAGTGGACAACTACAAATTAGCAAAATTACTATGGTGGCTTTCCAGGATATAATTCAGATATATTTTCAGTCAACTTTGCAATTGGTAAGAAATAACACCAAAAATTAGACTGATTTTAAAAACCTGGGTTTTTAAAACTTTTTTTTTTTTTTTGAAAAAAAAATCTCTAAATAGTTCCAACTCGGTATTGTTTTAAGCATGAAAAAGTATAATAAAACAATATGACATAAATATAAAATTCTAATCTAAATCAACATTAGTTCTTTCTTATCACAAAGCTATTTTGCTGAAATCCTGGCCAGTGTGCTTAGATGTTTTTGGCTGTGTGTGTGAAAAAGTTGTAAAAAGGCTATCTCTCTAATATAATCTCAAAATAGGGTATTATATAATCTGATCCTGCTGCATCCAATTTGTGTAGGATTAAGAAGGCTAAATTATTTTTCCTTCATTGTCATAGTATGCTATGATGAAGATGATCAGGTAAATCTATTTAATACAAATTATCTGTCCACATCTTTGTGCTGTTTTAATACTTATAAGAATTTTATCAATCTCTTAGATAAGGTTACTCAAGTATCATGAAACTTTGGATGAATACAAATAAATATTATCTTTTTTTTTGCAAAGATATCTGGATATCAAGCAGTTACTTTTTCTTTTTTGTCTTTAAACAACTGAAAATTAATTGAAATGTTAAATGCAGAAGAAAGGATACAAAGGATTAAAAAATGGGAATGCAGTAAAGTACATTTCTTTCAGTATAACTGAATTTAATTTAGCTAATTTGAAAATAAAATCAAATAGAATTGTCATGAAAGTAAGAAACAAACCATCTTGCTAAATGCTTACAGTCAGAAATCCTGAAAACAATTGTGGAACTTTTCTTGTGCCTGTTTATTTGCTTATTTTTGTTTATTTGTTTGTGTTTATTTCCCTTTTTTCTCATAAAAAACTCTAAAATTGTTTCATAGAACCTATATCATTAAATATGGATAACAATGTCTTGGAATCCAGGTGACATGTGTATATCTGTGAATCATAGTTCACAGATAATTAATTTATTTTCAATAATGCAATATTTTTTCACCTCAGTTTACAGCACAACACCACTATCCAATCCTAAAATAACTGTATTTGTCCAAAGACCAAAATGAAACATACGCTTATTTCCAAACTGAAATTACGTAGATGAATTTCTATTGTTACTTCAAGCCATGTCATTAATTTAATTTATTATAACTGGAAAAATTATAGATGACTTAGAACTTTGAAAATACATTTAAATCTATCAAAAATAGTTGTAGTTTAAAATATTTGTCTTCACATTATTAAAGCTACTGTTAAATTATATTTTTATAAATGCCAAGTACAAATAGATAAAAAGTAATAAATCATGGTATAAAAAGAAAGAAATACTTCCTTGGGAAAATGTATTTGCAATTCAACTGATCATATAAAAGCATAAACTAAAAAAGTTTATATATTTCTATGTGCTATGGTTTCACCATTCATTGCATTGCATTCCAGAATATTTCACAAGTTCTGGGCACAATGTCCTTGTGTGTGAAGCATAATGATTTTACACTGAAGTCACTCTCATAACAACCTCCCCAGAACTGTTGTCATCTGATGAATCCTCTGGAGGTCTCATTCGACTGAAGAGTTGTAATAAAACATAGCCACATTGAAATCTTGGTGAGGTTAACTGTGTTGAATGAGCTAAATTTCTGTTTCTCAATGCATTCAGTGGTAGCCACAAAGTCCTAGCTGTAGAAGATTCTCCTCGAGTGCTCTCTTCTATGTCTGTTGCTTTGTCATAATTTTGTACATCCCAAAGCAAATTGACAGCCCTCCAACGCTTAAATACTCTGCAGACTGATGCTCCTTCATGTACAATAAGTCCTAAAATTAAAATAAACAGATTATTGAAGCCCATAGTTCTGTACCTCAAATGTACTTTTTGTTAACAAATACAATTAAAATTGAAATGCTGGCTTGAATCAAAGCACAAAGACTTGGATTCTGGATAACTGATTCCCACATACCCACTGTATTAAACATTAATATCCAGATATATCTTTTTGGATAGCTTACAGCGTGTATTATTAATAAACAGAAGAAAGATAATGCTTTTATTTAAATATTTAGAAGTTAGCATAAACTGGGGGCCATTACTAATTTTAATAAGTACCATTTATGATAGATGATAGATATATAGATTAGAGAGAGAAAGAGAGAGAAACAGAGACAGAGATGGGAGAGAGAGGAAGAGATGATAGAGAGGGAGAAATATTCCCATGCCTTTGATTCAAGAGACATAACCAGGAAATCCAGAGCAAAAAAAGCAGCATCAAACAACTATAGGAAGCAAACAAACAGTAGGCAGTAGAATGGTCAATGTTCAGGAAGTTTCGTTATGTATACAGCAAGGTTCAGAAAGCTAGGAAACAAGAGACATCACAAGTTCAACAGATACAGAATTACTTGCATTGTCCAAGAAAGAGTCATCTTCAAAAAAAACAGAGGAGTCAAAATACAGCTGTCCAATATTGTTTCAATGATTAAAAGGAACTAGGACCAAAAGCTCTCGGTCTCCAGCCAAACAATGAATTTTAGTTACTGAATTACTTTAAAAAACAGCCTACGTTAGAATAAGATATTTGTATTTGTATTTGTATTTAATTTTATTTATATGCCGCCCAATCCCAAAGGACTCAGGGCGGCGTACAGAGTTAAAACAATCATAAAACAATAAAATAATAAAATAATACAGTCATACCGCGAGTCCGATCATATCCCGGCCCCCCCGGGGACATCAGCCCCAGGCCTGCCGGAACAGGAGAGTTTTAACGGCTTTCTTAAAGGCCGGCAGGGTGGGAGTAGTTCGAACCTCGGGGGGAAGTTGATTCCACCAGGTCAGAGCCACCACAGAAAAGGCCCTTCCCCGAGGGCCTGCCAGCTGACATTGTCTGGCCGACGGGACCTGAAGGAGGCCCAATCTATGGGACCTCACCGGTCTCTGGGAACTATGCGGCAGAATGCGGTCCTGTAGTAACCTGGCCCTATGCCATGAAGGGCTTTGAAGGTGATAACCAACACCTTGAATTGCGTCCGGAGACCCACAGGAAGCCAGTGCAGCTCGCAGAGGATAGGTGACACGTGGGCGTACCTTGGTGCGCCCACAATCGCTCTCGCGGCTGCATTCTGAACCAACTGCAGCCTCCGAACGCCCTTCAAGGATAGCCCCATGTAGAGCGCGTTACAGTAATCTTGTCTTGAGGTGACAAGGGCATGAGTGACTGTGAGTAAAGCCTCCCGGTCCAAATAAGGTTGCAACTGGTGCACTAGGCGAACCTGTGCAAAGGTCCCCCTGGCCACAGCTGATAGATGTTGTTCCAAATTTAGCTGTGAGTCCAGGAGGACACCCAAGTTGCGTGCCTGCACTGAGGGAGGTAAATTTGCCCCCCCCCCAGGACTAATGATGGACCATCCAGTTGGCCTTTGGGAGGCAAGACCCAGAGCCACTCGGTCTTGTCAGGGTTGAGTCTAAGCCTGTTCACCCCCATCCAGACCCTCACATCTTCCAGGCACCGGCACATCACATCGACTGCTTCACTGAAAGGACACGGGGTGGAGATATATAATTGGGTATCATCCGCGTACTGATGATACCTCACCCCGTGTCGCCGAATGATCTCACCCAGCGGTTTCATGTAGATGTTAAAAAGGAGGGGGGACAGGACCGAGCCCTGAGGCACCCCATGATCGAGGCGCCTAGGGGTCGATCTCTGTCCGCCCGCCAACACCGACTGCGACCTGTCAGAGAGGTAGGAGGAGAACCACCGCAATACGGTGCCGCCCACCCCCACCTCTCCGAGACGACGCAGAAGGATACCATGGTCGATGGTATCGAAAGCCGCTGAGAGGTCAAGAAGCACCAGGATAGAGGAATAACCCCTATCCCGGGCTCGCCAGAGGTCATCGGTCAGTGCGACCAAAGCAGTCTCAGTGCTGTAGCCGGGCCTGAAACCAGATTGAAAAGGGTCCAGATAATTAGTTTCATCCAAGGATCGCAAGAGTTGGGACGCCACCACCTTCTCTACAACCTTCCCCACAAAGGGGAGGTTGGAGACGGGACGAAAGTTCTTCAAAACAGCTGGGTCCAGGGAAGGCTTCTTGAGGAGGGGCCTCACCACCGCTTCCTTTAAAGGTTGCGGGAAAGACCCCTCCATCAAGGAGGCATTGATTATCGCCTGGAGCCAGCCTCGTGTCACCTTCCTACTGGCAGAAACCAGCCAGGAGGGGCACGGGTCCAATAAACAGGTGGCGGCATTCATTGCCCTCATGGCCTTGTCCACTTCATCAGGGGTCACAGGCTCAAACTCACTCCAGATAACATGACTAAGACCAGCCCCTGGCAACTCGGCTGGCAATGCCCAGTCGGAGTCCAGGTCTCTCTGAATCTGAGCGAATTTGTCCGAAAGAAACTGAACAAACTCCTCAGCTCTCCCCTGCAAGGGTTCCTCCGCCTCCTCCACTTTAAGAAGGGAGCGGGTCACCCTAAACAAGGCGGTCGGGCAAGATTCTGCGGACGCAATAAGTGCGGAAAAGTGAACATGCTTTGCCGCCCTTATCGCCACTAAATAAGTCCTAAGATAGGCTCTTAATAGTGATCAGTCAGATTCAGAGTTATTAATTCCAAGGCATTGTTCCCCACAATATGGTATTTCTATTTTTCAGTTCTCTGCTACTCAAATGAGAGATGGAAGCGTTCTTATAGATTTTGTGCTTCTGTCCTTCCTTCAGAGTCTGAGTCTAACATAAGCAGAGTCAGAGATTGTTGAAAGTGACTCCACCAAGATCTAAGAGATAGAATTAACTTCCTCAGATTATACTTACTAGAATCTTAATCTTCACCTAGTTCTGCTTCTCTTCAGAGGAGGCCTGTTGGGGGTCCATCATTTGCCTTCCCAACATATACCTTCTCCAGTTGTATAAAAACTGATTTATTTTATTTAGAGGAAAATGGTTTGTCAAGCTGAGAGAATGCATATCTAAAGCACTCCAAAAGAGAAACCTTCTAATCACTTCCCAGATACTGCACACATCAATAATAGAAATGAAAATTAAAAATCTGTACTACTTCATAATCTTCTTGTCCTTTAATCAGCATTGTTAGAGGATGAAAGAGGCTGACATGACCAGGCTGGGAAGGAATATTAAGAACAGATGTGTAGTTATATGAATGTAGCTGGTATGCTGTAAGATTAATTTGAGCAGTTATCTTGAAGCCTGCTATGACGTGTGGGCTTAGTCTGAGCATAAAACAGTAGATGATTCATGGAAAGTAAGACTTGTTACCAGCTATGAAAAAAGTTCCATTTTGTGTCTTCTGGTCTGTAGAGACATTGCAGTCTTGTTTAGGCCATTATTATTCTATCCAGTGTATCTAATCCACTGTAATAACTGAGGAAGGAATAATTCTATTGGGAAAAAACACAAGTGAAAATCTGGAATGTTGCTGTGTGGAAGCTTACTGTTACAAGGGCAATTTGGAAATAAACCTCAGTTTGGTTATCAATGACAGACACTTGCAGATACAGAACCTTTATTATACACATTAGAAAACTACAACATTACATTACTTTTTGACATAATTGCCATTCAAATTGAGGCACTTGTCATAATGTCTTACAAAGTTTGAAATTCCTTCTGCAAAAAAATCTCCCTCTTGGGATGAAGCCAACCTGTAACAGCATCATGAAGCACATTGTCATCATCAAAGCAATGTGACGCAAGCCAATGTTTTATGTGCCTGAAGAGGTGGTAGTTGCTCAGTGCCAAATCTGGGCTATGAGGGGGGGTGATCAAAGACATCCCAATTGAATTGCTTCAAACATTTTTGGGTGCGTCTAGCAGTGTGCAGGCAAGCATTATCATGAACCAACACCACACTGTAAGTCAGCATGCCCCGATGCTTGTTATGGATGGCTCATCTGAGTTTTTGTAACGTTTCACAATAGATTTCTGAATTGATGGTCGAACCACCCTCCATGAACTTCACTAGCAGTACTCCTTTGGCATCACAGAATACTGTTGCTATAACCTTTCTTGCAGACAAGCTTTTTTGAGTTTCTTTGGTGAGTGCATATGACATCACACCATTGATTGCTGTTTGTTTTCAGGGTTCATGTATGACACCCAGGTCTCATCACTGGTCACAATTCTGTTAATAACACATGAGAAAGTCCAAAACAGAACCCATTTGGTGTGTTTGTGCTCCTCAGAAAGGATTTTGGTACCCAATGAGCACAGAACTTTCAGTATCCCAAATTTTACCTTGTACAAAACAGTCCCAAAAATTTGGGGAAAGTGTAGAGAAAGTGCAGATATTATGAACAGATGGACTTCACGGACCTTTTTGTCAATTTCCTGCCTGAGTTCATTGCTGACTACAGATGGGCGGCCACTTCTTGCCTCATTGTGCATGTCAGTTTGTCCATCTTTAAACATGCAACACCATTGACATACAACACCTTCATTCATCATGTTTGGTCTGCAAACATTACACAGTTTGCGATGAATCGCAGCTGCCAAAAGTTTTTACACATACAGGAATCATATTACTGCATGCACTTCACATTTGGCAGGATTTTCTATGGCAGGATTCATTTTTAATTGATCTAGCGGACAAGTCAACTGCAACACAATCTTCTCCTTCCACTCTTCACTGCCTACTTAACGGGCATAGTTATCCCCATCTATTTCTCGCACATGCTCAAATGGAAGTTTATTTCCAAATTGCCCTCATATAAGGCAACAGGTTTACTGATAACTAATATAAACACATATATTGCTCCAAAGTGGCATTGACATTCTGCCTATCTAGCTACAGTTATACA